GATTTTCTCGGCCAAGCAAAACGCCAGCCGCGCAAAGCACATGCGGAAGATTCTGTCGCACTCGTGGGGCTCTTTGGTGACGAACTTCTCACGGGCCATTGTCAGGGTGGAGCAGCGCCTCTCCAACGCCACTAGTAGCCGCCGGTCTTCTAGCCGGGCGTCCCACGCCAGCCTAAGTAACCAAGATGTGCGCGATCCGGTAGTTAAGGAACGCGGCGGCACGGCTAGGAGCGGCAGCAATGGCAAGGAGCGCACGCTGCGACTGAATGACGGAAGTGCCAATTAACGCCGGCCAGCAGTCACATATATGGCTCTCGTATGGGCTCGTTACACCAGTCTCTGCCAGTGGGTATTGCGACCGAGGGGAGGAAAAGCAGCTCACACACACACACACATGTTCGGTATGTTCGGTGGAAAGCAAAGCTGTATATGCTGAAGGCGGGAAACAATAGGCATCGGCAGCAGCTGCCAATACTGCTGGTTGCGACAGGTGTGGTGTGCGTGGTTGGCGGCTGCAGATATGTTACCTATCAGGCGCGCTACAGGTATCATTATTGGCGTCGTCAGGTGCGTTTAGTAACAGCAGGTCATTAGCTATCAGTATCCGTGACATTTGTTTGGCTGATTATTGGCTGAAGCAGAGGATACTGCTTGCGATCGAAACGAATGAACTGCGGCCCATATAAATAGTACATATCTGTTTTTGTATATTTCTTGCATATCTTTCCTTGGCATCGGGGGGTCGGTGGGCTGGGCGGCGGGATTACATGTGCCGAGGTTCTTCCTCGTATTTAGCTACTAGCATGTGGAAGGCAAGCGCGTGTCGCTTGTCGTCGGTTTCGCTTCGCCATCGTTGTTTTCGCCCATGCTGCTGAAAGTCCGAAATGTAGGGATGTAGTTACTTGTCATAGGTGTATTATGTATACGGGTAGTTGCCACACGCGCATGTGCATGAAATTCTGCCTACTTTTTTGTTTTCCATGCAAGCGCTTACTTCTACCGCTTCGCTCAGGTGCATGGATGGCGAGTGTGCGCGCTTAGCTTGGCTATAGCCGTGCACCATCACCCTGCGCCTGATCGACTCGGACGACTTTGTTACTTGGTGTCAGTTGGATAGCTCTTCGCGCTTTCGTTGATGTTAAATCCGGGTTGCTGTGATACGATCCGGACGATGTTACGTCGCCGATATATCAATTAATACAAAGCTTTAAGCACATATACGTCCGTGTGAGGGTATGCTTTTCTGCTAGTAGTGCGTGGCGAGCGAAATGCGAAGGTGTACATGTATGATGTGTGAAACAGGGGGGTGTATCTTCGCCCGTGGCAGCTACCCTGCGAAACCCTGCCTTCCCCGGTATTTCGGGGCACCCTCATCCAGTCACCCTAGTCAACTTCTCAGTGGATCGCTCAGGTTCCGCACCCACCACCAGCATCCAACGGAATCTGCCGGGTCGACAGCGGCCCAACTCCGTATGTATGTATGCGATAATGACGTTTGAGCGGTGCGCGCGTGCCTGGAAGGCGGATTACATCAAATGATCGCGCGGTGATGTATCTGGTGGACAATTGTTTAGTAAACACTGTGGGTTGTCGATATCCCATATACTGCATGCTTGATTGCCGCCGTTTTCATTCCTGGCATCTGGGCAGCCGAGGACAGCCACTCTATCCACCAAACCTTCTGGTTTTGAACTTTGCTGCATAGCTAGGGTCTTGGTCCTAAGAGGGTTTGAGAGTGCTTGTGTAGTCCAGCCCTATTAACTAACACGACGGAGGAGGAATGAACGGCTTCGTTTGCCAGGTCGTTCGGCGCACACCAATTGTGACCGGATGACATGTTTAGTTGCCAGTTCACTCTTATAAGCTAAAAAAAACACGTTTTGAAAATAGGTTCTGTAGGAATTCTGTCGCCGTCCTTCTGCTGCTTGCTGCAGTGGTAGTAGTCGTCGTCGTCGTCGTCACACGATTGCCCAAACAATATCGCATTGACGGCTATGACTCGTAAGCGTGTGTACCAGGAGCATGGGCACGCACCTGCAAGGTTGTGCAAGTAGTGTGAGCCGTTTCTGAGCGTATTATTCAGCACAGGAAATGACAGTTTCCGAGCAGGCGCGTGGGCTCAATCAACCTTTCTCATACATTACCGAGGCAAAACCCCACGTCACCAGGATGGCTATAGATGTCGTTGGTTACCCTTATCTCTTTTCTGTGTTACGTGTGGCGTATGTCGGTGTTATTTTGTGTTTTTCCAGGGGTGTCCGCCTTTGAATCACACTGCTTGTTTCACGTACTGTGTCCGTGGGTGTGGCTCGCAAGCTGGGAAAGCTATCAAACAGCAAGAGTGAAGATGACTGATAGTGATGACTGATAATGCAGGCTTTTCTCGGCGGGTTTTGCTGCGCCGTCTGAATGAATGAATGAATGAATGACGGCGCCGGACCGCTGGGAGCTACCGTAGAGTGTAGCCACGGAGCTGCGCGAGTGTGTTACGGTTTTGTGGCATACTACTGTACCGCGAGGTGCCGTACATGTCGCTTCGTGTATGTTGTACGGTGTAAAGCTGCGCACGTTAACTGTAAACAGGTTATTCAAGTATATAGGCGCGCGTGGGATGGAGCTAACATAGCAGGCGGGAGGCAGGCAGGACGGGCAGGTGTCATAATTGTGCAGAGGAGATGCGCATAAGGGCCTTACGAGCTATAGGGATGTGCTATAGGGACTTTTTATCACACAGTCGTGATGGGGTCAGGGAGGGGACCTGGGGCCTCACCTGACACCTGACAAGCAGGGGGCGGGGGGTGCATTATTATGACCTTCAAACCAAGCAAGACTGATAAATGTTTTTCTTTTCCCGCGGCGTGCAAGCCGGCTGAGCGAGCGAGTGTGTGTTGATGACTTTGCATGGATTATTACTTGCGTTGTTGTCTATCTGGCCCGCTGTGCCCCTCGCAGCTTTCGTTGCGGCGGCCTCTTGCTCTTCTTTTTCGGCTCATCACTTTTGGGTCGCTTATTGCTGATGACTGTCTGCCCATGGATCTCGCTCGACGCACTGACGCCGTGCGGACTGTGGTGTGCAGCCCCATCGAGCTACGTTTGTTTGTTTGTTTATTTATTTATTTTCAGTTGTCTACGCGTGCAACTGTTGTTGCTGTTATTTACAGCGGGCTACCAAGTTTCTATCAATGTAAAATGCAAAGAAACTCCAGCCAAAGGGCACATCGCCTGTCGCTGTAATAGACACACATAGCCTGGAAAGGAAGAACAAGTGGTCCGTATCGGCACGCACAACACCTAAGCAAGCTCGGCTACGACTAAGACCAGGCTAGCACTGATGCCAACAGGGGAACTTGCCAATATGGCAGCCCCTTGAATGACAAACTCATGCCAAACACAAATACCGGCGTACTATTGCTTCGTCAATGTGAGGCAACACGTGGGACCGCCATCCTACCAAGCTGTGTCCGAACAATCACCCAGGGGTGGAATTACCGATCACCGTCATCTGTGAGCTCATCCATGCAAAGCAAATGGCCCTCTAACCCCCGGAAAAAGGGGTGGTAAGGTCCAACTGTGTTCCCGCCGCGCCAGTGGTTGGCTGCCTGATCCGGTAAAAATGAACGTAACCGCACCATACAGTCAACAATCGCTCTGTAGATGGCCCGGTCCGTGATTTGGGCCGCCTGATGAGGTGTGCGATTTCCTGTCGGTGTGCTGTCGCTTGTGCCAAACGGCGTCCCGACTCCATCGAGCACAGTAGTGCCACATGGCATTCTGCGGAGTTGTGTTGGCGGAGTTGCGTTGATTTGCAAGAATTCTTCCCTTCGATTGGTCGGCAATGGCGGCTGGCAGCGATGCATTATTGTAAGCTGCATCGCTGCGTCTGTGCATCTCCACCATCTGCATGTACCGTACAGCTGAGAGGCACACGTAGTACATATTTTCGTGGGAATACCTGTACGCGCTGCGGAGGTTTCGTCAGGACATGTTCCGCTATGCGTGTACGACAACGTTACGCGAGTTCACCCATCAGCCACATCCCCACAGCCAAGTGATCAGTCCTTTTCACATGCAGCAAACATTTCCGTTTCTTCTGAACATCGCCCAACGGCGCCTCTATATATCCTGCAAAACATTCCAGTAGTATTATGAGAACAAATTCCAGGCAATCCACTTGTAGCCGTGTGGGAGGCCGTGAATCCCATGAATGAATGAGCGCTATCGAGAGGCGCAAGGAACGGACGAACATACATAGACGACACTCTCTAGTAATTTGCAGTTTTGCTTTCATTCAAAGTCGGACTGCCACGCACACATACCATACCATACCATACCACACACACGCCCCGCATGGGTCCCGAAGTTCGTACACATTACTGTGGAACACATCGTACAGCGCCGTACGACAGTGCCGAGCAGTCAAGCTACACGGTGAATGGCGGCATTCATATCCTACACGAACGTCGACACTGCATGCGCCCCATGTGCCTTCCTGCATCGTCTGAGGGACCCTATCCCTGTCCCTTATTGTATATTGTCGTATACGTCCTCCTCATTCACCTGTCCGAGCGTCCGAGGATAAAACCTGAATGAGCTTTAAACATCCAAAAGCTTTAAATATCTGCAAACAAACTTTAACTTTTTGATAACTCTTGTCAAGCATCTTTGATCCACGTTGTGTGCGACCGAGTGTCGTCCTGCTTGTACGGCAGGCCTTTCGCCGTACGCCCACTTCCGAATTGCAGTACGCTCCTACAAGCTGCGTTGTAAAAGCCGCATCAGGATCTGCAAATGAAAGTCGCTCCCTGCTGCGTTATTCGCAACCTAGCTCGTGCATCCAATCCTTGGCATTATTCCAGCCTTTTTCCGTCCAACTTGCCAACCAACCGAATTCCCGTTGACAGTTGCTGATCCAGTCAGTGTCGTATCACATCACCACAATTCGGTAACATTTGATTGGATCGGAATCCAAGCAACGAACCAGCCGACAAACTGAATCCAATTCAGCACAAAGACTCGACGCAGTAGAGCTGGTCTCTAAGAAATGATACATCGATGGTTTTGTGATGCCGTACCAGGCACTGCCTGTGGTGGTCCCGCCCCGCCGGCGCCTCCGCCGTGCTGCGGGTCGTACGACAACATTGACGTATCAACGCCGTACTGTTCCCGCATACGGCGGCTCCATGAATCATCTCGTACTATTCGCGGTGGAATCGCGGTGCGTTGGCCGTGTTGCTGCTGCCGTTGAGCTTCACGTCGACTGCTGCCGCCGCCGGCAATAATTTATTTAGAGCCGCAACCGCAACCAACAAAGGAAAAAAGGAATGGGGAGGCTCTTCAGCATATCATACACACCCGCAAAAGTGACGTACAAGTGACATACAGGCTAACAACCGTGCAGACACACAAACAGTCTTCTGATAGCAATTTGCGCCACTTATCACCGCCGCAGGACTGCACCTTTCGGTTGCGTTGCGAATCAACCTTTCAGCTCATCACATCATATTAGCACATAAAAAAACACAAATACAAGAACACGTCCATGCACACACGTGCGCCCGGACACGGGCGCACAGACACACATACGCAGACACACGCGCAAAGGTGTGCAACGAACCAAAAACAAACATCGTTTACAAAAAAACTACAAAAGCGACATACAGACAGGTGGGTTACACCACAGATGCACTGCCCAAAAGCCTCACAGAACAGACCTCAGTGTCGCCCAGCAGACACACACGTCTCCCTCGCCTGAAGGTTTATATATTACATCTGGTTGAACATTACCTGGATGTAAGCAGCGGTGCGGATGAGCCCGCCAGCAGCCCCTCCTCCAAATCTTCTGCCCGTTCGTCTGCGGCTTGGGGGATTAGGGGGGTTGGGGGAACACCGAATATTTATTGCCCATGTTTTTTTATAAACCTAAAGAGCTTTAATGCAAATATAATAATAAAATATAATTAAAATATAATAATTAAAACATAATAATGATAATAATATAAAACTCGAGTAAATAAATTCTAAGGTGAGCCGGTCGGGAGATCGGAAATTGGACAAGTAATGGGGACAGAGCTGAAGGCAATTTCCCTGCCTGTGGCACCCAGGTCGGCTGCGGCCGCCAGCCTCTGCTCCTGCCACCTGCAGCCTGCCCCTCCCCTCCGCGGCACATCATGCGGCATGTGGTCGCACGTGCACGTGCACGTCGTTGTACTTTGTGCAAGAGCCTGTCCTCTGATTGGGCCTTCCCCCTGATTTGTACCGCCTTATAACCTCCTATCGCAGTATCCTCTCCCCACACACACACACAAGCACACACATACACATACACGCGGTCCGCACCCGCTCGCATGTAAGCCGAGTGGAGCAAGCAACCCATGAGCAGCGTTAACGTCTGACGGAGGGCAGGTGGGCGGGTGGGCAGAAGGAAAGTCAGGAGGGACCGGTGGGTAGCGAAGGGGCGTGTTGAGGCCCACCAGGTTAGGAGGTGCGGGAGCAACGGCCTGAAGCAGGAAGCAGGGCTGGCTGCACGGCCGCCAGCTCAGCGGCCAACACGACCCAGCTTACCAGCTGAGCGTCTGAGAGGCAACCTGACAGGCAATCTCTCTAAAGAACAGACTGACAGTGGAAGGAGCATCGTGATGTGCTGTACTGCAGCGAAATCACGGAAACCCGTGTTCTCGCGTTACGCATTGGGCCAGTAAGGCACCTGTACAACAGTTCAAGCCAAGCTCAACACAGAGTAACAAAAAGTCTGAAACTCCGAAAAATTCGGATTCGGAGTTTTTCAGTCTTCAGCCGCGTCCTGTGCATGTATGTATCATTTCAGACGTCCCTTTCCACTTCAAACCGAGATCCAATAACCCCGTAAACGACATTAAAACCCTAAAACCCTAAAACGCTCCTGTCTCATACGACTTAAACCCTTGACTGCTGCCCCGCCACAACTCCCAAAGTTTCCTGAGAACCCCGTCCCCAAGGCCCTCAGAGCTTCAGGCTAACATGTTGCGTTCGTAAATTCTCATCAACGAGCAGTCCTGTGTACGACACACTGGTCAAACGAGTGTGTACGGCCCACTCGTACAACGTACCTCCACGGAAAGCACCACAGCGTCGGCCCACTTATACTCCAACAACGCATCGTGAAGATCCCCTCGTACGGAATTGCTATCGCTGCCGCCGCCGGTACTTTCGCTAATGTGGCGGCGGCGGCGGCCACTCGACGCCATGTCTGGGATCACCTCCCCTGACTCGCCGTCAGCATTGTCGTACGCCGCCACCGCTGCCACTAGGCACACCTGTGCCGCCTATCCCATCGGCCGGGCCCGCGATACACATAACATAATGTAAAGAAAGGAAATGCAACAAAATACATGAATGTAACACTGTACGGCAGGGAGTGGAGTCCATCTAGAGATATCTAGAGGATGTGCGGTACGACACAGCCAGTGCCGAATTTAGTGGCCAGGAAGGCGAACGGGCCGTGTTACAGGTCTTCAATTAATTCCTCCGGGGTGAACGAGCCTGGCCTCGCTCTGGCTCCGCCATTAGGTGTACGACCTGTACGGCAAGCAGCCTGAATGCACCGCCCGCTGCTCACTCCTTCCCCTGGACCCTATAATCTAAAACGTACAACTGCCCGTACATAAAGTACGAATGGTTGATAACTCCTGTGCTTGAAAAGAATCAGTGATTGGATGATTGGATTCTACGATGGATCCAACCGGATCGCCTGTGTGCTGCGCCGCCCCGCACATCCCACCACAGAAATTGAAAACAGCAAAGCGCTGATGAACAGCTAGCAACAGGCGCATTACGACATACGGCATAATACAGCGTTCGCAACGGGCATAAACAGCAGCAGCGCCCTCCTTCGCATCACAGGTACTGTACGGCAAAAATACTGCGCAGCATAGCACAGCATGAGGAAGCAAAGCATGCGGCCTCACCATCAGCAGCGCCAGGAGACCAAGATGGATATTTAGGAGGACCAAGCTGTGGCGCACAGTTGCGGCCAGGGCAGTGATTGCTGAAAGCGCGCCGGCAGCACCAAGGGCAGCAAACACAACCGTGGCGGTCGGGGGTGGACCGCTTGGCCAGGCAGGGGGCCAGTCCTCGCCGGCTTGGGTGCCGTACAAGTCTCCTGTAAGGCGGAAGTTGTCCAATTCGGACTGTAACATACATACATGTTCTGGGCTTTGAGTATTGATGAGGAGCGGTTGGCCGTCGTTTTGGTGATGGCATGGCGAGAACGGCTATTGGAGGGCGGGGCCAGGGTGAAGCGTGGGCTTGGGCGTATATGTAATATGCGTGACTTTGCGCATTTATGCACTGTAGGCTTTTCTTTGTACCATTCCATCCATCGCGGGTGGACCTGGTGTAGATGAAGCTAGGGTTCACCCATATCCGAGGCTCACCGGCATATGTAATCATGGCCAGGCTGACAAGCAATAAAGCTACGTTGCAGGCCCTGCTTCCTTGTATCAATGTATAAAGCCAGCAGTTAGTCCTGACACCAGCATGCTCGCGAAGAAAGCGCGATAGACGCGACATGCTTGATTGGATATCGATAAGCTTCAATGTATCAAATGTTATTGGTTGTTACCGAAAGGCAGGATGCTTCCTAGCTTTGGATTGTCGGCCGGAAACGCTCAAAAGGCATCAAGAAGCAGGTTAGCATTAAAAAATGTGGATCGGCAATAAGGCACGTGACCAGTTACTCCAGAATACGTTTGATATTACAATCGGACTGGCGCTAGCGGGGCTAACGGTCAACGGAAACCACCGGCCAGTGCTCGCAGGGTCGGAACGCCGCCATAACGTCATAAGCAGGGTTCACCCCTGGTCACATGTCACACGCTTGCAACGCCCCTGTAAGCGTCACAGGTTAATTGCATTAGCATATTGGTTGATGATGTCGCTGACTTGATTCCACATCTTTGTATGTTACAAGTTACAAGTTACAGTGTCCGCATAAGTGCGGAGGGCTCCGTCAAAGCCTTAGGGGGCCATGGACCTGTCCTATTAATTAATGTTACGGTGTCGGGGGGTTGACTGTCATCATTCTCCCTGCCCCATTTGAGCACGAAGTGCAGGAGCGCTGCGTGCTTAGTCTCCCAGACAAGCTTAGGTAATGCCAGCGGTCTTAACGGTGCGTATGCTGCGTCCTTGAAACCAGAGTTTAATTCCCATACTTAGCCCTCAAGCCATCATAAGCAGGGCATTTCCCAAACATATGCAAATTCATCTTTCGAAGCGGTTTTCGCGGGAATTTATATGTTGAAAATTGCATGATATGTCCTAATTTGTAGCAGATAGATTGTCACCATTCACTGAGCTGCAGGTGTCGCTGGCAAACCTTGAGAGGGACTTTTGGAAAGGATTATTTTGCTCCGTACGCGGTGCTGGGGAGGCGGCATGGGCCCCCCTGGAGGGATGTAGACCCCGCATTGGTTCATGAATGCGCTTGCTTGCCTCAATCACTCCAGGGGAAGAGGAGAAGCTCTGGCTCTTAGTGCTTAGGATCAAAATCCTAGCTAGCGACTTAGCAGCAGCAAAAGACCGGACAGTTTATTCCCCCGGCGAGGTCCCTCGCCAGTAAGTCTCGCCGTTGTAACTCTCCCTCTTAAAACCGAGTCAGCGCCAGCGAGGGAGGACAACTGCCTGCCTATCGCAGCAAGCTCTCTCTCGCTCCTAATCATATCATCAGGCACCAGTCAGCCTTGTGGCAGATGCGGCACGCACGTTTCTACACATGCATGACGTTAGTTGACAATGACTCCCACCGGCAAGAATTGATTCGCTGTTTACCCAATGGCCATCCAGATCGCATATTTGACACAAAGAACATGCAACTCAGATGCTGCCAAGCCAAGACACTCCTTTGTACAGCCACCTTTAGTAAATATACCTGCTGCCCTGTCAAAAATTAGAACCCGCTGGTGTACGGCAGCTTCTATCGTACATACGACTTCCGAAAACGAAGGCATGAACGCATGAAGGATCATGTACGGAGCCAAACACAGATCCTTCTTCCAGCATCGATTTCCCCACACCATCGATCCCCACTCGCACATACACAAAGCATTTCTTGACATGGTCACTTGTCCGTGCAGTGCCCGTGGCTCAAATCCTGTTAAAAACGCTTCGGCACGGCCAGCGGAGACGTCACACCTACAAAGCTAAAAATGGATAACAAGCAAACGGCCCCAATTAAAGAAATAACGCAGCACCGACGCAGCCCACAGCCCTCGCCGAATAAGCAGGCATGCCGCCAAACGGAAAGCAAGGTAGCCCGAAGGCACCAACCCTTGGAAAAAGACTACGGACGGCACCGAGACTTAGCAAACACTTTCACACGCACACACCGAGTAGCGGTCCCCCTCACGCATCGCCACCGCCACCTTCCCCCCCTCAAACTCCGCGATAGCCGTCTGCCGCATGACTTCACGCCGCGGCCTTACTTCATGACTTCTTCCAAACCACCACGGCCTCCACCTCCGGCACTCCATTCCTTGGATGGTAATGTGCGTGCATTTGCGCAGCAAGATCTCCCTCATCAATCAGCGTCGTATAATCGTGTTGTTTTACATATGTACGGCTTCGTCAGTCCATGATACGCGTTACAGACCTGCGATAACTGGCGGTAAACGATGGATCGCTGATCGCACCTTCGGGAACCAGTTTCCGTAAGTACAGGTCCAGAAGTGCTATGTTGACCAGAAATAGTTCTTTTCAACTCTGCTACACACACTGGATGATGATTCCATTTTTTAAGGATTGCACGAACGGCAACCTGCTAGTGGTTCCTTACCTCTGCACAGGTAAGCAACGATCTCTCCAAACCCAAATGAAGTTCATGTACAGCGCCAACCAGCCAGTCATCACTGCTAAGGCTGCAGTGATCATAACCTCACATGTACATCCACAATCGCAATACTTTTCTTCTGTATGAAACATCGTACAGCATCATCAACATTACCACATGTACGACAGACGTACCGTAACGTCCCCAGCATTCACATACCAGACACATGCTTCCGCTGTTCCAGATTCTTTTCGTTGTCTTGCTTGGTTTTGGCCCCAGGAAAACAACAAACGCCTGTCGTACAGGTTATGTGACAGCTCAGCCCCGCATGCCACGCAGGATCAGCAGCTGCCCTGTCGTACATTCGCCTATCCAGCGATACCGCCCGTACAGCACCGTACCAGCTACGTACATAACTGCAGCTGTCCATCTAAGGCGAGGCAGCTAGCGGTATATTATTTCACGTCTTGGACACCCCTGCGCGGTGGTGTAGCTGGTATATCAATAATGAGGCGGTGTAGCTGGCGCCCTAGGGGCACGAGGTAACGGCTTGGGCAAAGGTGGCGGCCGAGGCGGCGGCGGGGATGGCTTGGGTGGTGGGGGCGCCCTGGGCGGCCTGCGCGGTGCCCTGGGAGGGTCGCACGGCGTTCGCGGGGGCAGCCGAGGTGGCCTAGGTGGTGGTGAAAGCGCCCTTGGGGTGGGAGGTGGTATTGGACGAGGTGAAATGGGTCGCGGCCGCGGGGAACTGGAGGGCGGTGGCGGTAGAGGTTCGGATGCCAAGTCTACCACGCACTAGCGCATTGTAGTGCAGTTTCCTTGCTGTTGCTAATGCAACTGCCTTTGCTACTTGACTTTGGGCCGCCCACCCCCAACAGCTCTGTTTTCCATGTCATCCCACAACTCTGATGCCAAGTATACTGCACACTAGCTGAATGCAGTTTCGTTGCTTTTCCTAAAGCAAGCAAGTGCCTTGCTAAGAGGGCGTGATTGATGGGGGTGGCCAGGAGCGATTGGAAAATGACGGCCTGCACGCGTTGTAGCTGCCAGCCAGGTCAAAAGTGGCTCTGCCACCGCCTTTTACGCCCGAGGTGGGGCTCGAACCCACGACCACAAGGTTAAGAGCCTTGCGCTCTACCGACTGAGCTACCCGGGCAGTGCACGATTTCCAAGTCGCCACATGGAAACGCATCAATACTGCAGTCTACTACTCATA